TGAAGCCATGAAGTATTCAATTGAGCTATTTGATGGCAAGAATGACTTTGCTCTATGGCAAAGCACTGTGAAGGATGTCCTTACTTGTCAAGGACTTGATGCAGCTTTAGAAGAGACCAAGCCGGCTGAGATGAAGGATAGTGATTGGAGTACTATCCAAAAGAAGGCAGCAAGTCAAATTCGAATGGCGCTTGCACCAGAGGTGAAATACAACGTCCTTTCAAAGACTACTCCAATAGGCATGTGGAAGAAGCTTGAAGAGATATATGCTTCAAAATCTTTAACCAATCGGTTGTGTTTAAAGATGGAGCTATGTCAATTGAAAATGGCAGAAGGCACAAATATTCATAAGCACTTATCTGATTTCAACATAATGATGACGCAAGTAGTGAATGCCGGGGACATTCTAGAAGAAGAGGAGAAGGCCTTGCTTTAACTTGCATCCTTGCCAAAGTCTTACAAGTCCCTAGTGTAGAGTATGCTAGTGGGTAAGACTACCTTGGTGATGAAAGATGTCACATCCATGTTGTTGGAGAATGATAAGTTTCTTGGGGAGGATGACGGTGCCAATCAAACTAATGCTTTGGTGATGGAGTACTCTCGGGGAAGATCCAATGGACGTGGAGGTGGAGGAAATTGAGAAAGGTCGAAATCCAGACCTAAGAAGGATTATGGTGAAGTCCAGTGTCTTTATTATGGTGAATTGGGCCACAAACAATATAAATGCCCAAAGTTTAAGGAGGACTTTTCTAATATGAAAATATTGATGAAAAGTCAAGAAACCAAGGGTAAGGGAGAGGCTAATATTGTTGAAGAAAATGTGATTGAAGTATTAGCTTGCGAAGAGTGTGATCCTAAAGTGGAGCAAAACAATCAACGGTGGATTTTGGACTCTGTTGCAACTATGCATGTGTGCAATAATCTTTCGAAATTTGTGAGTTTGGTTCGGGGGGAGCTTGGCAAAATAACAGTGACTACCGGTGAGAAGGTGAATATTGAAGGCATAGGAGATGTTCGTCTCAATGTTCACAATGGGAGAGCCAAGATTCTCAAAAATAAGATATGTGCCCAAGTGTTCAAGCAATATTATTGCTTTGAGTGAGTTGACAACACGAGGGTGCAAGTATGTCAGAAAGCGAGAATGGTGCAAGGACTACAAAGGTGGGAAACTTGTTCTGCGTGGAAGGAAGAACAAGCACAACATCTATGTGCTTGAGCACCATCCCGAGCGAAGGCTTAACAAGAT